AGAGATTAAATTTGAGTAATTGTATCCGTACGATATATGTATACTATTAATGATAATTTTTTAAAATATATATTATTTTATAATTATCTCAAATTATTTCAAAAAAATATTTTTTTATCTGAGTAGCTATATACATGAACTCTGAATTAAATAACACATTTTTTTTATCAAATTAAAGCAAACAATAAACTACAACCACCTTCCCTCTAGCTATATTTATTAGGGTAAGCTACCTTAATTAGGGGTGTGCACTATCGGATATCGGATATTATACGATCTGAATTTTTGAATATCCGAAAATTTTGGATACTTAAAGTAATGATCCGTATCCAATCTGAAATTTCGGATTGAATATCCAAATATCTGGCGATCCGATTTTGACATATATTATATTGACCATCTCCTGCAAAGCACCAGCTACATTTTCACAGATATTGTTGACCATCTCATCGGAAGCAAACCACCAGTTATCGGACTCTACGAGTGCCTTCAAGTAAAGGACGAAGCCGGAACTCGAGCTCTCTTAGGAAGCCAAAAGAGATTCCGAAAGAGGCTTACAAAGTGAGTGGATGATATGCCTCTCAGACTGAGTTTTCAGAACTCCAGAGCTGAAGCATGCAAACACTGGTTTTGTTGCGAAACCTTAGGTTCTTTCAAGCAATACATCGAACACTTGGTAGTACCTCTTCTCTCAAGTTTCTCGGCTGATAAACTTCAAACACAAACTTCGGAGTCAGAACAAGAACCACCCAAATGCTTATCATTGAGAATTGAGAGACTCCCTAAAGGAGAAACTGTTGGGTTAGCGTTTAAAAGCTGGATGGCTGATGGATTTCCCGTTCAGAGGGGTGATATTTTTCTCGCCATTAATCGTTTGAGGAAATTTAAATTGAATAAACGAGCTCTTGAGGATGAAAAGGAACAAAGTGACTTGTGTTTCGAATTATAGAAAATAACAACAAAAAATCGGGTTTTCGGATAATCCAAAAATGGTATATTTTCGATCCATATCCGATCCGATAATCTGAAGAAAAAAAATTCGGATACCCGATCCGAACTATCCAAAAATTGAAAAATGGATCGGATATCCGAAATTTCGGATAGAGTTTTTTTGCACACCCCTAACCTTAATGCCTTTATATTATGGATTTGATTTATTTTGATAATTAAATTAATTTTTTATTAATTATATCATTAAATTTTTAATTTGATTTCAATTATGTTACCGATCATTAATTGTTAATAGAATTACTTACGTAATAAATAAATATATTTGTACAATAATACATTTGGTCATTGTACCCGAGGAAGAAGTAATTTGAAGATCATATACTCCTTCGTACTCGATGGGACATGATTCTAAAGAAGGTCTACTCTTTTACAAAAGAGGAGATAAGACTTTGAAGATGACGCACTCGTTTAATTTGAGACGATGATATATACTTTATTATTAGTTCCTTCAATTTAAGACGATGAAACTTTAAAAAATAATAATTCTTTTACATGAAAGTGAGGCTTTAACAAAATATATCACTTCTTAAACTTAAAACCATAAAGAGAGGATTTTCTCGCTTAATTTGAGGTATCGAAACTTTAAAAAGAGATATACTCTTCTTCTAACTTAAAGGGATAAGAGATAATTTTATCTTTTAATTTGGAGTGATAAAACTTTTTCCATTTTTATAAGATTTCTTTTACAAATATTATTTTTTACGGAAAAATCTTTTAATGTTGCTAAATATCATTGTTAGTAATGTGCATGTATGTTGCAATATTAATAAGAATGAATTAGAAAACTCATTTTTGAAGAGAAACTAAGTCATCAACACTTAAATTGATTCAATCTGGACAATGTCTTAAAAACAAAAAAAATCCGAGATTTAGCTCATTTTTTTTCCTTCAAGTTTCAATACTTGTAATCGGTGAATTTGTTATAGAATATACAGTTTTGTTACTCAATTATATATAAAACTATATTTTGTTTACTGCAACCAGAACTGTTGTTGAAGTAATATATTTTGTTGATCTACTGATAAATTGTTGCTAGATTTCACCGACGGCCATGGAGAAAAAGGGTTGTCCGCTTCACTATCTCCGAACGCCGCTGTTGTCGTTCCATTAAGATTCTGGGGACCGGATCTTGGTACCGCTTGAAATGTTGGTGCCGCCGTGATTTCATTAAAACTTTGAGCAAAGAAAGTGGGTGTTGCCTGAAATACCGGTACCATTGAGAATCCATCAGAAAAATCGGCAACATTGTCACCGGTAGTGGCGGCAATGGATACCGACATATCTGTTTCGTCTTCAAGAAATGGATTGTATTGGCGTTGAGGTACAATGTGTTTTTGGTCAAATAAATGATTTGGCTCGATTCCATTGACTAAACGTTGAGAAGGTTGTGAAGTTCGTACTGTGGTTTCTACTAACACAATCTCCCAGTTCTCGTTAGCGCCATTGTTGTTGCTCCAGTTCGGAGCTGAATTCTGGGTTTGTTGTGCAGGTTTTGTGATTTGGTTTCCTTGAAGCCAGTCATCAAAACAGACGTTGTAATCGAATGTCACAAGTTGTTGGTGAGAGTTGTGGTCTAAATTTTTATCTTCTTTTAACCAGTCATCGAAACACGAATGGCCATCGGCTTCATTATTCGAAGCTTGATCGTGCTGTAGTTGTTGTTGTAGCCAGTCGTTGATATATGAATTACCCATGGCTCCATTTTGAGAAGCTTGCTGGTCAATTCTATTATCTTCTTGAAGCCAACTATTGGGAAATGAGACACCATTGGGTCCATTTTCAGAAGCTTGCCGGTTAATTCTATTGTCATCTTGAAGCCAACTGTTGGGAAATGATACACCATTGGCAGAAGCTTGCTGGTCATTTGCATGATCTCCTTGAAGCCAGTTGCTGGGAAATGAGACATCAGTGGCTCCATTTTGAGAAGCTAGCTGATCTTCTTGAAACCAACCGTTAGAAAATAAGCCACTATGGGCTCCATTTTGAGAAGCTAGCTGATCATTTCTATGATCTTCTTGAAACAAACTATTAGAAAACGAGACACCGGTGACTCCAGTTTTAGAGCCTTGTTTTGTCCAGTCGTCAAAGAAAGATTGATCATTAGACAAGTTTTGTGAAGGTGGGAGCGCCCCTTTTAAAGCATTAGCTGAATACGAATATGTTTCTGTACATTTTTGTGCTAGGGCTATATTATTATTATTATTATTTTCTACGTTTGGCCACTCATCGAAGGATATGAAATCTATCTTCACATTTTGGTCTTGATCAACAGGTAATGAATGGTTTGAACCAGTTTCAGCGACATTATTTATAAGAAACCTCTTGTTCATCAAACTGTTTTCTCGACAACTCCGAGAAATTCCCGATGGAGAAAGATGCTCTCATTGCTGCAACAGATTCATCTTCTTCTTGATGTTGTTTTATCAAATCTTCCAGAGTCATGGAAGAAGCTCTTGAAACTCTTGCACTAGAGTCAGGTTCTTCCGGAATGGAAAGATCTTTGGCTGCCGTGGATACGATACGAAGCAATTGAGGCGATTTCAAAGACGGGGATTTTAGTGGGAACGAAGCCTGGTGTTTCACGAACTCTTTCAATGTCTGCAACAACTCTTCTGATATCCCATGAACATTCGGATAATCCGAGGTTTTCCCAACAGCCATCCCTTTACAACTCTCATAAAAAATAGAAAGATCTTCGAATTGTATGCTGGCTTTAACGCAATATTCAATGGTACTAACGCATGATTGATGCTGCATGTGGAAGAAACCATCCAACACAAAACCGAGTCCGTTCGATATGTCCCGATAAAGATCGAAGCTTTCTTCCACGACGGCATAAAGAGCAACCAGAACCAACTGGTTCCTCTTGGCCGCTCCTGTGGGTTTCGTGGCAATGACATTATCAAGCAACCGCTGCCATGACGAAATCCGGTCGAGCAACATGGGTGGCTTCATATGTTGAACGGATTGTATTTGTTGGCTAACTCCACGGCTCCTGGGATTCATAACTTGTTTCTCTTTGGAGGTAACTCGCCGTTGAAGCTTCCCCGTGAGAAAGCAATCCAAACGCTCCTCGAGATAAGATTCGAACGACTCAACGAAAACGGTGTAATCGCAGGGGCTGGAATTGGTGTCGTCTCTGAAAGTGGGGAGATTCAGGGTCTTGGCTTTCTGGTTCATTGCATGAAGGACTTCTTTGGGGAAGAAAGGATCACCGTCCTGGACGATACGAAGAACAAGCATCAAACATTTGAGGGCGACGACCCAGCTCTTGGTTTTGCCTAATCGTTTGGCGATGGAACGGGCGGCGATCCTCGCGAAAAGTTGGTTGGACGACACCGTTTTAAGGATTTCTTGGACGTAACGGTCGTGGATGGTGGATTGGTCGTGGGTGGTGGCCTTGAGGACCGCCACTTCGAGGCTGGCTGAATTGGTGTTAACCACCTTGGCCAGGCTGATGCTCGTATGGTCTTTCACTGCTCCGATCGCCTTGTTTAACTTGCAAGGCATTGTTGATTTTTCTGAACTCTGTAATTATTCCAGAATGATAAAAAAAGAAAATTCTCTTTGGAGTTATTTTTCCTGGAAATTAATACGAAATATAAATCATTAACTAAATAGATTTTGGATATTCAATTAAAGCAATTCCAGCCTGATTTCCCTTTTTAGCTAAGTATCACCGATATTTTTAGCCATGATAATTCTTTTTTTAAATACATCCTAGTCTGAGAATCAAAGAAAAAATGTTTATAAATGCTTTGAGTTAATACAATAAGTTAATATTTAGTGTTGACTCGAATTGATCGAAATATGTGTAATAAAAACTTGCTAAATAAAGTTTGAGCTTAATAAAATCAAAACAAGGTCCAATTAACATATATTCTTGAGTTGGGTAGAAATTAAAAGTGGGAGAGAAATCAAATTCAATTCCATATCCCCTTTAGTTTTGGAGTATAAGTGTGGGGTATATGGGACATAGAGGTACGGTAATGAAATCATCTTCTGTTTCAACTATTTTCTCTACATTAAAGGTTTCTAAGGCATTTGAATTATAGAAAGGAAATATTGTAAAAAGAAAAGAAAGATAGTAAAATCATCATCTTCGTCTTTTGAGCTTCAAGAAAACTTGGCTTTTATTTTAATGAATAGTAAATGAGGTTGGAGAACAACTCGTAAGATCCAAAGAGTGATCAAACACTATAACTGTTCTGGCGTTTTTAGCGGCGTTTTGAGAGTAAACGACACTAACTTTAAACATATAGCGACGCTTACATTCCAAACGCCACAAATGGTAAGTTTAGTGGCGTTTTTATACAAAACGCCGCGATAGATTAGTACTTTAGCGGTGTTTTTATACAAACGTATTAATAGGTTCATCTATAGTGGCGTTTTTTCAACAAACGTCGCAACAGAGTAGTACTTTAACGGTATTTTTATACAAACGCCGTATAGGGTCTTCTATAGTGGCATTTTTTCAACAAATGCCCCAATAGAGTAGTACTTTAACAACTTTTTATACAAACGTTGCAATAAGGTTAATCTATAGTGATGTTTTTTCAACAAACGCCGCAACAAAGTAGTACTTTAGCAGTGTTTTTATAAAAACATTGCAATAGGGTTCATCTATAGTGGCGTTTTTTCAACAAAGGCCGCAACAGAGTAGTACTTTAGTATGTTTGTGGCGTTTGGATTTAAAAACGTCGCAAATTTTAAAAGTTTTATCTTACTATCCCTTCAGCTCAATCTCACCTTTTATTTTCCTTAACATTTTCTACTCCCCGCCATTTCCAAAAACCCAACAAATATATTGTTTATTGGAGTCGTTCGACGCTGTCGCGACCTTCACTGTCACACCCATCATGATCTTACGATCCCTAAATCTCCAAACTCTCAAATTTTGTGTTGGTCCTTAAATCAAATATTTTTAGCACCGTTTTTAGTGGCATTTTCTAAGCAAACGCCACTAAATTTATACATATCGCTGCATTTATATTCAAAACGTCACTAAATGGTAACATTAGTGGCGTTTTTCAACGAACACCGTTAAAACATGTACATTAGTGGTGTTTATTTGACAAACGTCGTTATATATAAGTACTTTAGCGGAGTTTTGAAGCAATCGCCGTGACAAATATGTACTTTAGCGACATTTTTTAAGAAAACAACGCTATAAAATGACAAATGAAATGTTTTGTAATTTTAATCGTGCGAAACCCTTTCCCTTTTCCTATTTCCCATCTCCACCGGACATACCCAAATAAGCACGCAAAACTGCTACTGCTCGTCACCGCTCAAAGCCGTCGAGGCCTCCAACGTTACGCCATCAACGCTCGACTCTCTAACTTGAGGAGCGAATTTCACCATTTTCACAGGTATAATCTTTTCTGAATTTGTGTTTATAGAGAAAAATTAGGGTTTATTTTGGCTTTACTTTTTCTGTAGATTGCAGAACTGTGATTACTATCACTTTCAGTTGATGGGTTTTCTTGATTTGCATTATTGCTATGGTTTTGGATGAATTATTTTGCAAATTTGTTCATTCGCAAATCATACGGTCACTATTTGGCTCAGATTTTCTATTTAAGTTAACACGAATGATTTTTCTTTGTAATAAAAGTTATGTTATTTTGATGTTCTAAATATTTAGGATGATGAATATGTAAAGAAATTTGAATAATTGCATCAGTTTGTGTATTTAGCATGAATTCTTGTCTGCCATTGAAAGTTTTATTGTTTTGTTCTTCAAATGTTCTCCTTACGGGTTTCTTGTTCTATAAGCTCTTCAACTTCAGTTGTGTTAATGAATTTTACATGATTCTGTGTTAAATGAATGTTTTTGGTTTATTGTATGTGCTGTGTCAAATGATTTTTTTCATGTACAGCCGAAGCAAATTCATGAGATCAAGGATTTCCTTCTCACTGCCAGAAGGAAAGATGGTCGCTCGGTAAAAATCAAGAAGAGCAGAGATGTCAAGTTCAAAGTTCACTGCTCCAAGTATTTGTACACACTTCGTGTGTCCGATGCCGAGAAGGCTGATAAGTTGAAGCAGTCTCTTCCCCCAGGTAAAATAATACAGTTTTCAGAGATTTTTATTTTACTTTTTTAATCGAACCAGCTGCTGTAACGAACAAATGAAATGTAGCAGAAAAAAAAACTATTGTTCTGACTGTATTCCTTGTTTGTCTGGTATTTAAAGGTTTGAGTGTTCAAGAACTGTGAAAATAGAGGTGCTTTGAGTTTATCATCCGATTAGTAGGTGACGAAAGCTAGATTTGATTTTGGATTCATGGTGTCTTATGCCATTTTGGTGCTTTGAAACTCGACATTTAGTGTAATGGATTTTGTTGTGAGTTTTTCAATGGATATTAGTAGAGCAATTTCCTACATTATTTGATTTTGGTTGTATTTTCTTTATCATTAGTTAGATATGTTTTTTCTTTTCTTACTGAATTGGTTGGAAGCTTCAATATCTCACTTGTTCTATAAATTTATGTTGTCTTGACTCTTTGTTTTCTTTTAAAGAAGAGTTAGTTCTATTCAGTTATGCGAAGTATCGAAATCTAATCCCGATACATGTAATTTGTTCAAAACAAATTACAGTCCACATAATCGACTATTGATGTTAAAATTACTTTCTTATAAAGTGATGCAAGGGAATATGGCAAGAACTTTTTTATACAAAAGAATCGGAACTAACGACTAAAATTGTGGTTTGTTTATTACATATATTATGTCCTGGAGAAAATTAAGTGATTTGTGGATTATTCGAGCTTCTCAAGAGGGGGAATAAACAAATAATGAGGATCTACTGATGTTGGCTCTTCGAAAATTCTGATTACTGTTGAAGAAGTTGTAGAAATTGAAGGTATTGTTTGACACTTTCTTTAATTGCTGGTTCATTTTGAAAACTTACATTGAATTATTTCTTATATAGTTGAAAATGGTCGAACACGCAAGACTAGAGGACGTACAACGTTGAAGGAATTATACCAACTTCCTCCTAGGAACCGTGTGGAAGTTTCAAGAAACAATGTCGGTCAACCTATTGGCCTAGAAACACGTCTTCTATCCGGTTACTTAGGCATGGTTACACATAATGCTAATATTTTATCGATTAATTATGAGTCATGGAGTGAAATGTCAAATAGTAACAAAAATCAGGCTTTGGATTTTGTTAAGGTAATATAATGTCATTATAATAGATAATATATAACAGATCAATAATAATTTATATTTACTTTGAACACTTATGTTATTGGTAGGAGAAATTTTCTTTAGAGGTCTCAGATTATTATTTGAAGCAAGATTTAGGGAAGAGATGAAGATACCACAAGAGTTCTTTAAAAAAAATACTTCAAGAATGACCTCAGCCTTGAAGAGAAGCTCCAAACTGTCATACCTGGAATGCTCAGGTATCAATGGGAAGATGCAGTCGAGTTTTGGAGTTCAAATAAAGGACAAGTATGATGTATTTTTCAAAATAATATAATGTCATTGTAATATTGATTTTATAAGTACAAATTTAAAATTGTAGGACTGAGATCATGTTGATGTTGCTAGTAGACAACAACAAAAGTGTACTCACACAGTTGGATCGAAGAGCTTTGCTTGTATAGCTAATGATGAGGTATTATTGATTATTCACATAGTGATTTACAGTTGGTAGCACATAGTAATGAAAATTATTTATATTATTAATTAATTTTTTTGCAAGATTTAATTTTTATTCCACATTGTAGGAAAATACGTCTGGTTGTAAAGTTGGACGAATAAAGTTCTTCGACATGACACATACAAAAAATGATGACACTCCTATGACTGATGAAGCTGTAGAAATTATGGTATTTTTATTGGACACAAAATTTGAATTATGTTATATTTATATCTATAGTATGACATTCTTATTTAAAATAATTATTGAATTGGTTATTAGAAAAAATTGAGGGACAAAAGGGCGGAGTATGAAGCTACAACTTCAAGTCATGGTATTGTTAATGCGAATGACATTGAAAATCAAGTTATTAATGACATTGAAAGATATGGTCGGCTTCGATGTCAAGGATTATTCGTTACTCCAACCAAATATTTTGGATCCAGTTCATCACAGTACATGTCATCACAGAGTCAGTCTTCCCAATTAGAAGTTAGTCGTTTAAAACAACAGTTGACTGAAATTGTTCAAAAAAGTTGCTCAAATGAAAGCCGAAAATGAAGCGAGTGAAACAGAGAGAGAAGCAACATATCAACAAAAATGTGAAGACTTTGAAAACCGACTTCAAGCTATGATGCATATACGAAAAAATCAACCCTAGAGTCCACCCTCTTAGGTGTTATTTTTAGATATATGTTTTGTTTATTCTAGTTAATAATGTTGAACTACATTATATTTTACGTTAATGTAAACTTTGATTTATAATTATGGAGTTCAAGTTGGTTGTTATGGATTTTAAGTTTGTTGTTATGCATGTCAAGTTTATTGGATAATGCTACATGTTAAAAATTTAAATTTGGGTAACAAAAGAGCAGAAAACAACATCTGGAAAATTAGTTTTAATTGGCGGCGTTTGTATAAAAAATACCACTAAATACATACTCAATACTGCCGTTTTAGAAAAAATACCACTAAAGTTCTAGATCTTTTGCAACGTTTATACAGAAAACGCCACTATAGCCATAGTCAATAGCGACGTTTTACATTCACAGATGTCGCTATGTGTCATTACCTTTACTGACATTTTTAAGAACAAACACCACTATATGTCAGAACATTTAGCGGTGTTTTTTTACAAACGCCACAAAGGATAAGATATATAGCGGCGTTTGTTTTAGTGACGCTTTTTGTGGCGTTTTTTGTTTTGCCACAAGGGTTTTTAGCGATGCTTAAAACGTCGCTATATGACTAAAAACACCGCTAAAAACCTATTTTACTGTAGTGAAAGGGCTTCTTCTACTGGTGTTTTGATTGTAATATTTTTTATCGTCTTTATTAGATAGAAATTTTGTTATATTTTTTTAAAAAATATGAATGTATTTATAATATTTTTAAAAAAATTATTTATTAATAATATAGATGTATATTTTTTGTGGATAAACTTCGGTATCCTCAAATAGTGTTATACTTAAGATTATTTCTCGTCTGATTAAGTGTTATAGGGTGATTGTTGATATCGAAGTAAAGTAACAAACATTTTACATGCATTCGTTGTTAGAGGTATAACAATCCAAGATGAAAAGAAAACATAAAATCAAATACTTTATAGATCCATAATTTGCTTTTATGGTGATTCATACAAGTCGTAGCAAACGACATTCAATTCCTCGGCAGGATCTCGTCGTAAAATTCATGTATATGAATTAAGAATAAAACAAACACAATTAATGAGATGGAAAAAAATATTCTATTAAATAATCTAAAGGGATATAAAATAGAAATAAATACATGATAAGAATCGGAACAACCGATTTGAAATGAGTTGAGGCCTACAACTACACAGTTTTCTTAAGACAAATTTTCAGACACTCCTTGGTGCTCGAGATCTTTGGTTGTCTGTCTCCCAATATACAACAATGAGATGATTAGCGCACAGTAGCACAACTGCCGAGATCACGAACTATTCATTGTCTTTGCCTATCATAAAAAACTAGAGAAAAATAATTCCTTTGAATTGGTTTTTTGAGTTGTTTTGGATTGTGTTTAACCTAGTAGGTTTATGTAACACCCCAACCCGTATCCGATCCGGATACGAGTCCGAGATGTCACATCTTTGGTTGTCTGTCTCCCAATATACAACAATGAGATGATTAGCGCACAGTAGCACAACTGCCGAGATCACGAACTATTCATTGTCTTTGCCTATCATAAAAAACTAGAGAAAAATAATTCCTTTGAATTGGTTTTTGAGTTGTTTTTGGATTGTGTTTAACCTAGTAGGTTTATGTAACACCCCAACCCGTATCCGATCCGGATACGAGTCCGAGATGTCACATTGACATTTAAAAACCTTTATTCTCACAAAATAACAGAATATTTGAACTTATATTTAGAAAATACAATCATATATTGTTCAATTGTGTTTGTTATAAAATTTTGAGGCAAAAACATATTTATGAACAGTAAAATACGGTATGAACAGTACCGTGAACAGTACCATGAACAATGAAAATTTTCGAATATAAATTGTGTATCGATGCACTGCTACAGTAACTTCATAAAACTACTTATAAAATCGTAAAAATCGAAACTTTCATCCATATAAATTTATCAATTACATATATGCATTTAAAACATTACAAAACTCAATCATATGACTTTTCAAACCGATTAGAACATATCAGATTTAAATCCCTTATTTACATGCCAACCACTATCCTTATTATAAAATACATACTATACATTTCTTTTCTGATTTGATCTTTGGAAAGGAAAAACTGACCTGTCTTCCATAATTTTTTTACCAATCTTCCTCTTCTCGGAACCTACGCGTGAAACAATCACACGCTAAGTCGTTGACTTAGTGAGGCATATATAACATAATTATATGCTAACTGTAAATTCTACAATACATGAACATTTGATATTACCTTATCATACCAAAACATATATTCTTTTCTGTAATATATATACATACATGCACATATCATGTAACATAACATCATTAACATGCTTATCATTTCTCATTCTATCATCAATAATTTCTTTATATACCATATCAGCATATAATGTAAACTCTAAATCACACCATTGCATAAACAATTACCAATCTCATATAACAAATACATTTCACTTAGGAATACACACAATATCACATATGAATCTTGTAAATACTTTTGATGTCTTTTATAGGCCCATGTACATTACTGAGAACTTAAGGTATGTGAGTACTGTAAGATTGTGCACTATGCTATCACCACAGCTCGTATAAATTTGCACCGTAGTGCCACGTAGAATTTGCACCGAAGCGCTGCGTAGAAATGCACTGTAGTGCCATTTAAGATTGTCCATAAGGACCACATATAAATTCCTTAAGAATCATATACATATACCAATGATCAAGTAGGTGTCTCAAAAGACCTCATACATGCTCCAAAGAATACATATACGTCCTGAAGGACCACGTAGACCCTCGACTCTTGGCATGCCAACTATACCTCTAGATCTCATGACACATAATATGGGCATTATCTTTCATATTTATTACATATTCATATCGACACATAGTTTACTTACACGTAGAACATTTTCATATGATTCACTTTCACATGTCACATGGCTTATATCTTGTTCTTATGCCTTCTCATAAACATACCATTTCCATACCTTTATCACATAGCTCATATAATTTTTCCTTCATATTCATGTCACATATTTCATATCATTTTAC